CCCCCACGCCGAGGCCTCCTGGCTCACAGCAGTTGACTCAGAGTCAGAATCCACAGCCTGGGCTTTCTCGAAGGCCCCCACCATCCTGCCTAACCAGGAAGGCTCCGGCAGTGCTGAGCATCTCCTCCAGAAGCCGTCCCTGATCCTGCCAGAGCCCAGCTTCTCCCCCTGCACCTCCAGCCCCACAGCTGCATCTCTAGGGCAGCTGGAGTTCAAACGCCCCCAGGCCAGGGGCTTGGGCCTCCCCCCACAGGTCGGCAATAACCCAGATGATACGGATGCAAAGGGGAGTTTAAGCCATGCAGGTTCAGAGCCCCAACTGAGCAGCCACCAGCCCTGTTATGTTCCACGTGAGACTCCACCTCTCTGAGTCTTGGTGCTCTCCTCTAATAGATGGGGATGTAGTCATCCCAGTCCTAGTCCTGGGTCCTGGGAGCACTTAAAGGGTCCTTTCTTGGGAACCCTAAGGCTTGAAAGTCATCAGGGTGGCTCCCCCAAGAACTCATGGGGTATGTCTTGCCCACCCCTCACACACCGCATGTCAGCAGGACTTAGCAGAGGTGGGGTAAGGCGAGACAGGTCACATGGGCAGCCTGGGTGGTGACCTGGAGGGGGGGGTGTTGGAGCCCCAGCCTGCCCGCCCGCCCTCTGCATGGGCCCAGCAGGTACCAGGCGGAAGGAGCGGAGCACTGACAGGTTGCCCATGCGGGACAGGCCTAGTTCCATGAGGCTAAGGATGACGATGATGCTATCGAAGATGTTCCATCCCTGCTGGAAGTAGTAGTAGGGGTCAAAGGCGATAATCTTGAAGGTCATCTCTGCCGTGAAGATCCCCGTAAACACCTGAGGAGGGAGGGGGAAGGAGGGGATCCTGAGGTTTGGGCTGGACAGATCCGTCAGCCCAGCCAGGGGCATCGTGCTCTGGGATGGGCGGCCAGCTCTGACGGCACCCGGGCTCCTCATGGCCCTCTGCTTGGCTGACTCTGGACAGCCCTTCAAGGATGCTGCTTGTCTCCAAGTATGACAAAAGCCAGTCTGGCCATCAGGGACAGCCCAGCCAGCCCCACTGAGGGCTCTCGACTTTAGCCCTCAGGGACTCTGGGGGGCAGGAGGGGCCGAGGTGGGAAGTCACCTGACCCAGCCACAGACTCCTTCAAGCCCGCGTGTCCACAAGGAGGTCCCCCCTCCGCCACATTCCCATAAACACTCATGACCTCTCAGGCCTCCGTCCACACTGGAATGCCCTTCCTCCTCCTCATGGGGTGAGCTCCGCTCACCCTGGCAGTGCCAGTCTTTCTTTCTCTCTTTTTCTTGTAAAAAAACAAAAAATGACACAGAAAAGTAACCCAAAATAGAAAAAGAAACAATGTAACTTTCATGTTTCATGCAAACACCTGCAAACTTCCCGTGTGGCAGAAAATCAAACCAAATGAACCGGAACACTGCCCTCCCTCCCTCCCCCCACCCTTACCAGGCTTTGAGACAAGCGACAAGCTGAAAAGGGCACCTAACAGCTCCGTGCCAGGCAAACGGCTCTGGGGAGACGGTGGCTTTGGGCTTAGGTGGGTAACCGCACGGTGGCAGTTTCTCTGTGGGTGGAAGATGAGGCTCCCTGCAGGTTTACTGTCTCGGAAACCCTACGGACCAGTTCTGTTCTGTCCTTAAGGGCGGCCATGAATCAGAGGGCACTGGACAGCATAGGACAGATTCTTGAGAGGTAAAGGGTTCCAACCCGAATATTAAATCAAAAACCCAAACCAAACTCAGGGCCATTGAGTCCATGCCCGACTTGTAGCGACCCTACGGGGCAGGGTAGACAGAACTGCCCCTGTGGGTTTCCGAGACTGTAAAAGCCCTGTGTTTCTCCCTTGTAGCTGCTGGGGGGTTTTGAACTGCCAATCTTGTGGTTAGCAGCCCAGTGCGTAACCACTAAGCCACCAGGGTTCCTTTTAATAGTAACACAGCATACACAAATCAAGAAGAAGGAAAACCCAGAGAGACCAAAAAAAAAAAAGAGAGAGAGAGAAAAAAGGTGAACCTTGTCAAAAGACACACAGAAGGACATTCAACCTCCCTAGTCGTCACAGAGGCGAATGCTGACAGTCACAAGGCCAGGTCTCCCTGTCAGACTGGCACGCGTCAGCCTCCATGCAGACCCCGCGCGTCTCTGTTCCAGAGGGCTGGCTGACCTATTGCCGGCTGTCACGTGCCGATTCGAACTGATGGTGACTCAGTGTGCATCAGGGAAGAACTGGGCTCCCCGGGGTTTCCAGTGGTTTCTTTTTCATCGTCTGCCAGACCATTCTTCAGAGGCACCCTTGGGTGCAGTTGAACTCGCAACCTTCTAGTGAGCAGCCTGGCGCGCAGACCCTATTGAAACGGGCACTGAGGGAGGTGGAGTGGCTTGTGTGGTGTCCCTCAGCTAGTACGTTGAGGAGCCAGGTGGAGAACTCGGCGCTGCCACATTTATGACGTGGGGCAACCATCTCTGGAAACACTCCTAAGGTGGGCAGAGCCCGGAGGTCCAAGAGCCCACAGAGGGTGGGCAAAGAAGCCTGTTTCCTGGAGGAGGGCAGGGCTGCTGGGAAGTCGGGGGTCTGCACGGATGATGTTGCTAGCCGCCTGAGGAGCTGAGGGTCGAACTTGAGGACCCCAGGGTCTTCTGAAGGGGAGGGCTGAGGTCGGCGGCCCGAGGCACCCGGGCGTCAACTACTGTGAGGCCTGGCATCTGTGGGGGAGGAAGAGTCAAGGGCTCCTGGCGGAAGGAAATGTGCTGGGGGCTGCACCCATCTGGGAGAGAGGGCTCTGCTGGCTTCCCCAGCACCAGCCCTCTGCTCAGATGAGCCCCGGGGGAGGCAGACATGGCACCCAGGCCTTCAGCCGAGGGAAATGCTCCTGCACCAGAGGGGTCTCTGAGAGGATGAGGCCTAGACTTTGTAGCCCCAGGCCCGGTTCCTGGGCTGCCCTTCCCTCTGGAGAGCTGTCCCATTCCTAGCACTGCAGCCTGGGCCAGGACTTTCCACTCCTCTGAGCCCCCTCCAACTCTGTCTGTTCCAGTCACCTATGCTGGTCCCGCCTCAGGACCTTTGCACTGCCTTCCCGTGCATCATTCCAGCTCCCCGTTAACATCGCTCCCTCCCCTCGGGACTCCCCTCAAAACCGCTGAATGGGTGCTTCCTGACTGGGCCCCCGACTCCTTGTCCCTCTTCCTTCTTTTGTCCCCAGCAGCATTTCTCTGTCTTCCATCGCACCAGCCTACACATAGCACGTGGGGCTGTGTGTTTACTTCATGTTACAGCCCAGGAAGCCCTGTGCAGCAGCTCGCCTTGGTCCCCTAGGCTTGCTGTGGGTTGGAACTGACTCCAGGTCAACAGGCTTGGTTTGTGTATTTGCTGGTATTTGTCTGCCAAGGACCCTCTGGCTAGCCGGTGAGTTCTGCGAAGCAGAGACTCAGTTTTACCCCCTTAGGCCTCCCTGGAGGCACAGATGGTTAAGCGCTCAACGATTCATCAAAATGTTGGTGGATGGGATCCACCTAGAGCCGCGTTCTCAACCTGTGGGTCTCGACCCCTTTGGGGGTCAAACGGCCCTTTCCCAGGGGTCGCCTGATTCATAGCAGTTGCAAAATGACAGTGATGAAGTAGCAAACTAATTTTATGGTTCCGGGCGGTGGGGGTGGTCACCACAATACGAGGAACTGTATTAAAGGGTCTCAGCCTTAGGAAGGTTGAGAACCACTGACCTAGAGGCTCCTTGGAAGAAAGACTGAGCTTCCAAAAATCAGCTGGGAAAACCCTGGATGTTCTACTCCGAACATGTCAACTCACTAGGAGTCTGAGCTGAGTCAATAGCAACTGGCGTGGCTCTTATTCTGTCTCGCTTTATACCCAGCGAAGGAGCTCTGATGGAAAGTATGGGGCTCAGAACTGCAAGGTCAGCAGTTCAAAAATCGCCAGCAGCTCCTGAGGAGAAGGATGAGGCTGTCTGCTCCTGTGCAGGTGGACAGTCTTTGAGACCCCACATGGGATCATTATGAGCCAGAGTCAGAATGGGCTCAATGATAGTGGATTTAGCTTCCTTTACCCAGAAGAGGGCTTGGCACAGAGGCATCCACCCAGATGTGCTGGACAAATATACCAATGTTTGGAGGTCTTCTGTCCCACAGAGGTGGCTGGAGCCTCGCTCAGGGCACCCCTCCTTTGACCCTCTGGCCTCCCTGAACACCTGCCCAGGTGCCCGGGGTGGACGTGTTTTCTGGAAGGCCTGTTTGACCAGTTAATGAGTGCTAGTACTCAAGTCTAGGGAAGGGAGCTCAGGAAAGAGTCCCCACCCCTAGGGTGCCTGGGTGCCCCACCACTTAGGCAGCAAGACACCAGGTAGAGCTAGCAGCCTGGAACCAAAGGATGTAAGAAGCAGCTCTTGGGGAGCACCCTTGGGAGAGCCATAAACAACAACTCGCCCAGTACCAACACCATCTACATCACCTGGAAGCTCTTCAGAAGTGCAGATGCTCAGACCTGCTGAGCCACATTCTGCTTGTTGTCTCCCTTCCTGGGGGATCAGAGGTTCTGAAGAACGGCTTCAAGCAGTGGTTCTTACACCTGGCGTGCTTGAGAACCCCCCCGGGAAGTTGTAAAACCAGCGATGCCCACCTGGATCCTCCCGCTGGGATTCTAGTCCCACTGGACTGGAGTGTAGTTTAAAAAACCCGGGTACTGGGGTTTTTTAAAACTTCCCAGGTGATTCTAATGTGCGAACAAGCTTGAAAACCACTTCTTTTTTTTAGAAAACAGTTTTTGGCACTTCATCCACATGTCATACAATTAAATAATTCAGTCATATCAAGAGGAGTCCTATAGTCATCACCACAATCAATTCCAGAACATTTTCTTCTTCCCTGCGCTCATTATTATTTGTGTAATTATGATTATTATTTTGAAAACCATTTCTGAAATGTCAACGAATTTTGGTAGCAACCCTCCTTCCTTCTGGGAGCACCCAGACTTTGTGTCCAAAGTTTGGCAGTTTAAGACAGGCAGAGGGCTACTGGCAGACCCAGGGGTCTACCACTGTGAGATCTTGGGCCAGCTTCGTTATCTCCCTGAGCCTTGAATGTCCTCCTCTGTAAAATGGGAATATCCACAGGAGACTTCCAGGAGAGCTAAAAAGATGTAAATGATGCTATCTATACATGAGAGCGTAATTATGATGATTGCTGAGAGCAGCCGAGAGTCCGGCCCCGCACGGGGGCTGCTTACCAGATATAAACAGGCTCAACGGTGCTAGCCCTACCCTGGCACATGGAGACTGAGAGGTAGCTCCTGACAGGAGCTCCACAGGGCCATCATTGCTGATACTGGATTCCTGGGACATGAAAGTTCTTTGGAAGGCCCCAAACTCTCCTTGACCTTGCCATGTGTATCTAATGGGATCATATCTAATGGGCTCATACAGTATATGCTACAGACCTGCTATAGAAACACAATATTTTGTGAAGTCATTTCTGGCCAATGAAACATCATCTACAGTATCTTTTTTTTTTTTTGGCCTTAAGAGTTTGGACTACTTGGCTTTACAGATGTGCCACGAGTAATGGTGATCTCTTGCCCCCCTCTACTGAAAATATCGACATAATATATATCTTTCTATATAACATATTTTTAAAGCAACTGGTCCAATTATTAGGACAACATTTCTGGAAATGGAATTGCGTAGTCAGTGACTGTTTTGGAGGACTCTGACATGTACGGCTAAGCAATGGCCTGCTAACCTCAAAGTCGGCAGTTCAAACTCATCAACCGCCTCTTGGGAGAAAGAAGAGGCTATCTGCTCCCATGAAGGCT